CGTTCACCACCTTCATCAGCTGTGGGTGCAGGGGGGGGGGGGCGAGGGGGGGCAGCACTCAGGGGGCTGAACCCCCTCCCATGGAGGTGCCCACCCCATGCAGGTGCCTACCCCCACAGAGGTGCCCACTCCATGAAGGAGCCCATCATCACAGAGGTGTCCACCCCCATGGAGGAGCCCACCCTATGGAGATGGCCACTCCACAGAAGTGCCCACCCCATGGAGATGCCCACTCCACAGAGAAGCCCACCCCACAGAGATGCCCACTCCACAGAGGTCCCCACCCCAGGGAGATGTCCACCCTACAGAGGAGCCCACCCCCATGAAGAAGCCCACCCCACAGAGGTGCCCACTCCACAGAGGTGCCCACCCCATGGAGGTATCCACCCCACACAGGAGCCCACCCCTACAAAGGTGTCCACCCCATGAAGGAGCCCACCCCATGGAGATGCCCACCCCACAGAGGTCCTCACCTGCCTCATGTCCTTGTAGGTGTGGTGGCGGAAATCCAGGTTGTCGGTGGAGGTCACCTCGTTCTGCTGGGCGTAGTAGCTGCTGATGGCTGCAGAGGGGACAAAGACACAGCGGTGGGGGGGTCAGGGAGCTGTTACCCCCCCCATGGGTGGTGTCACCCCCCACTTTTGGGTGGCTCTTACTGGAGAGGGGGCATCCCAGGACCTCCAGGCGCAGGCAGAGGCTGCCATTCCACGTCTGGGGGTAGATGCGGATGTAACGGGCCACCATGGGCTCAGGGAACTCGGTCAGCACTGGCGTGTCCTTGTCCACGTTGCCATAAAACATCTGCCGAGGGGGGCAAGATGTAGCCAAGGCAGGGGGCAGAGGGTCCCTGTTGTCCCCGTCCCCCACCCCAGCTGGCCCGTTTTGGGGTCCCCTACCATCTCCTCATAGCCGTTGGTGTACATCACCCAGTTCTGGCTGTCATTGCTGAAGCCTACATAGAAACTGGTGACAAAGTCCTCACTGCGGGAGGAAGGGGACAGGTTGGGAGTGAGTTGGGGGGTGTCCCCAAGCTGCTTCCTAACCCCGTGTCCCCGGATCCGTCCCCCTGTCCCCAGCCCCATACTGGATTTGGGAGTCCCGGCCTTGGGTGATGACTCCAGTGAACTTGGTGGTGCGGCGGGTGTCCACCTCGATCCAGTGTGCCCGGCTGTCGTCTTCGGCGCACCAAGCCCCGTCAAAGAAATCATCCTCGTTGGTGCCTGCCTGGGGTGGGGACAGTGAGGGGGACATGGGTAGGGGGTGTCCATGGGCGCTGCCAGGGGGAGGGGTGACCGTGGGGTGGGTGACCTTCACCTGCATGTTGAGGCGCCCGCGCTGGGCACCCAAGCCATGGCGCAGCATGGAGGAGGCCAGGATCTGGTCGTCATCGATGCGGTGGGACTCCAGGCCGATGGGGGGACATTCTGGGGACAGTGGGAGGTGGTGATGGGCACCCCCCCGTGGCGGGGTGTCCGCTTTCCCCCCGGGAATGGGGATACTCACTTGTCTTCTCCTCTGGAGGGGCCCATTCATCCTCGTCCGTCTCCCACTTCTTCCCTCCTGTTTTTTTGGGTTTTCCTGGAAAAGGGGCACGTGAGGGGGGGGACAGAGCCCAGAGGGGACAGCGACGAGGGGACAGGGACAGGGGGCTGGCACCCACCTTTGCGGTCACGGCCCTTCTCTTCCGCCCAGGGGTCCTCCTCCTCCTCCTCCTTGCTGCTGCCGCCTTTCTTGGGCTTCCCTGGGATGGGAGAGTGGCTGTTGGGGACGTGCCACACACCCTGTGGATCGGCCACCCACCCCAGGGACGTGTCACCCACCCCGGGGATGTGCCACCCACCCCGGGGATGTGTCATCCACCCTGTGGATGTGCCACCAACCCTGGGGACATGACAACCACCCCAGGGACATGTCGCCCACCCCAGGGACATGTCACCCACCCCATGGATGTGCCACCAACCCTGGGGACATGACAACCACCCCAGGGACATGTCGCCCACCCCAGGGACATGTCACCCACCCCATGGATGTGCCACCAACCCTGGGGACTGCCACCCACCCCAGGGACGTGTCACCCACCCCGTGGATGTGCCACCAACCCTGGGGATGTGTCATCCACCCCATGGATGTGCCACCAACCCTGGGGATGTGCCACCCACCCCAGGGACATGTCACCCACCCCGTGGATGTGCCACCATCCTGGGGACATGTCACCCACCCCAGGGATGAGCCACCCACCCTGGGGATGTGCCACCCACCCCAGAGACGTGTCACCCACCCCACAGATGTGCCACCTGCCCTGGGGACATGTCACCCACCGCGGCACCCAGCCCCTGCCCATGTCTCACAGGGTTTGAGTTTCTCCTCGTCCGTCTCGGGGAGGGTGAGAGGGGCTGTGCTGGGGATGGGGTGGGGGGAATGGAGGTGCCCCTGTGTCCCTATGGGGTCCCCACGTCCCTGCAAAGTCTCCTGTGTCCCCACGGGGTCAGCATGCCCCTACATGGTCCCCCTATGGGGTCCCCACACCTCTACTGTGCCCCCAAGGGTCCCCTGTGTCCCTATGGGGTCCCCATGTCCCTATGGGTGAGAGGGGCTGTGCTGGGGATGGGGTGGGGGGAATGGAGGTGCCCCTGTGTCCCTATGGGGTCCCCACGTCCCTGCAAAGTCTCCTGTGTCCCCACGGGGTCAGCATGCCCCTACATGGTCCCCCTATGGGGTCCCCACACCTCTACTGTGCCCCCAAGGGTCCCCTGTGTCCCTATGGGGTCCCCATGTCCCTATGGAATCCCCATGTCCCTGTAGGGTCCCCTGTGTCCCCACAGGGTCAGCATGCCCCTATAGCATCCCCATGTCCCTATGGGGTCCCCATGCTTCTGTGGCATCCCTGTGTCCCTATAGGATTTCTCATGCCCCTATGGGGTCCCCACACCTCCACCGTGCCCCCAAGGGTCCCCTGTGTCCCTATGGGGTCCCTGTGTCTCTGCAAGGTCCCCTGTGTCCCCACGAGGTCAGCGTGCCCCTATAGGGTCCCCATGACCCTATGGTGTCCCCTATGCCCCTACGGGATCCCCATGCCCCTATGGGGCGCCATGTCCCCTCCAGACCCCTCTATGTCCCCACAGGATCCCTGTGTCCCTGGGGGGTCCCCATGCCCTTCTGAGGTCCCCACACCCCTGTGGGGTCCCCTGCACCCCTTATGCCCCTGTGCTGTCCCCATGCCCCCCCCCAGCTTCAGGCTGCCCCAAAATGATGCTCCCCAAGGCTAGGGACCGTCGCCCCCCCCCTACTCCGAGGGGTGCCAGCCCCCCTCTTGTCCCCTTGTCACCTCACTTACGGGGCTCCTCAGGCTGGGGCCAGACTCTCTCGGGTTTCTTCCTGCTCGGGGGCTTTCGGGGTCTCTGCTGCCGCCGGATGTACTCGACTGGGGACAGAAAGAGGGGGTGGCACTGACTTTGGCACTGACACCCCCTCCATCCCTCCCTGCAGGCCAGGGGACCCCAGCGGTCCCCCCAACCCGCACCCCAGCACCGTACAGTCCTCGTAGTCCTCCCGCTCCAGCTGCTCGTTGTAGTCCAGTGTCGGTGGCTCCGGCTCCTCGGGGACATCTGTGGGGAGGGGGCACGTGGGGAAGGGGCGCAGGGGTGGCCGTGGGGTGCAGGGAGGTGGCCCCAGGAAGCAGAGAGGTGGCATTGGGGCAGAGGGAGGTGACATGGGGGCACAGGGAGGTGGAGATGGCCCCAGGGTGTAGGGAGGTGGCACCAGAGTGCAGGGAGGTGGCACTAGTGTGAAGGGTGGTGGCCCTGCAGCACAGGGAGGTGACACCAGGGAGCAGGGAGGTGACATTAGGGTGCAGGGAGGTGGCATTTCGGAACAGGGAGGTGATATTGGGGTGCAGGGAGGTGGCCTTAGGGAGCAGGGAGGTGGCATTGGGGCAGAGGGAGGTGGCCCCAGGGTGTAGGGAGGTGGCACCAGAGTGCAAGGAGATGGCACTGGGCAGCAGGGAGGTGGCCCTGGGGTGAAGGGAGGTGGCCCTGGGGCACAGGGAGGTGACACCAGGGAGCAGGAAAGTGGCATTTGGGAACAGGGAGGTGATACTGGGGTGAGGGAGGTGGCACTGGGGTGCAGGGGGGTGGCACTTGGGAATAGGGAGGTGGCCCCAAGACGCAGGAAGGTGGCCCCGGGGACAGGGTACTCACCAGGCTCGGGTTCGGGGCGCCAGTCCTCCCGGCCTTCTCCCCAGGGCTCGCTCGGTGGCTCCTCCAGCTCCCCTGGGGACAGGGACACAGGGCTGGCAGTGCCCCCC